GTAGTGTTGGCTGGCACTAATGGGTTTCATAGAAAGTGGAGATGTTTACTAGCAGAATTACAGTTATGATTATCTGTGTAGAGGTGCTGTTAGCTTAACCATCTGTAGTTGAGAACATCTGGGAGTCTCTTGTTTTTGTTTATTATGCAGCAGCAGCTGCATTGCTTCTGTTGCCATAGCAACAAGTATTGGCATTCTGTAGGCTTTGATCTCTTGCCAACTTTCAGGACTTCTCTCTGCTCTTTTAACTTCTGCCTCTTTTAGAATTCTTTTTCACACTTTACAATTGCTTATCCTTTTCCTTCTCTTCAAAGTCTGCCTGCATTCTGTCTCAAATCAGTTGCTGTTAAAAAAAAAAAAAAAATGGATGGTATCACATCTGTACAAATTTCATAACTCTTAGCACTCTGAGATAGTCAAATCACCTTGGAGTTAGCATGTAAATCTATAATTATTTTCAGAGTATCTACCTCTAATTCCATTTCTTTTTGTCATGTGAAAATTTTGAAAAATTCATGAGTTTTTATGAAAATTTGCAAGTATTTTTTAATATAATTTAGAAATAGTGGTTTCTTCCTTTTTTTTTTTTTTTTTTTTTTTTTTTCATTTGAATAATTTGAATTCAAAGTTGCTATAATTATATTTCATATTCACTTACTAACAAAGTTAGAAAAACATTTTTTTTCCTTTGCTTAATTTATTTTTTTTTTTTTTTTTTTTTTCAATCTGATAAATTTCTCCAAAGAATTTTATGTATCTCCAAAGATTCTCTAATGATGAAAATACACACCAAACTTAATAAAAAAAAACAAAATTTTATTGTCAAAATCTTTCGTATTATTAAGAGGAAAGACTAAATTTGATTTATTAAATTATATTTTTTAATCCTTTTTAGAACCTTCAAAATTTTTTTTTTTGCTTCAGTGGATGATCATAAATTAATATAGGAAATTTTAGCATCTTTTTGCAGTGAAAAACACATTGATTTGGAAATTCTTGCAAAAATCAAATAATTGTCAGATTTTAATGAAACTTTCAGGACTTATTCACAGATGAATGAAATTATTATTATAAACTTTTCTTTTTTTTTTTTTTTTTTTATAAAATATTGGTAAAAATTTTTTTTTTTTTTTTTTTTTTTTTTTTTTTACATCTGTTACCCCCTCCCCTCCCAATTGCTTATTTAATTTTATAAAATTTCAAGAAAATTATTTTTGTACAGCTTAATGTTTATATTAATTATAAGAAGTTTTTGGAGAAATGAAACCATCAATTTTTTTTTTTTTTTTTTTTTTTTTTTCAAAAGCTGAACCCCCAGTTATCAAAAATCTGCTCTGAATTGTAAAAAAAAAATGTAATATAATAAAGACATTATTTGATTAGAAAAGCTTTTAATTGCTTTTATGAATAAGATATATTATAAACACTATTGTCTTGAGAAAAAAAATCATTTTCAATGAATAATGAATTTTTACCAGAATTGTTTTAATTTTTTTTATTTTTATTTTAATTTGAATAATTTATAAAGTTTTAAATCTTAAAATTCTTTATTAATTTGTAAGTTAGGTGATATTATTATTAAATAAAATCTATACTTACTAATCATAAATGGAAAAGCTTATTACAATTCATTTTTAATTTTTTTTTTGTTTTGTTTTTTTTTGTGTGTGTGTATCAATATGTCGTTTTTTTTTGTTTTTTTTTTGTAAATTTAGATGTCCATTCATATCAGAAAATAAGAGTGGCAACTATAGTAAATTTAAAACCAAACTTCCTAAAATTCAATAAAATGTTAGCTTACTTAGAATAATTTTCTAAATTTTTAAGGCTAATAGATAGTTCAAAGATTATATAAAATGGTACTCAAATTATATGCAAGTAATTTTTACAGATATGACCACCCCAAGAAAAAAATTAGTTAAATTTCCTAAGCTGTCAATAGAGGTGTCAACACCTCCTAAAAGCACTCACCTCCATGTTTATTAATTCTTTTCTGTACTATTTGTTTCAAAGATTGATTTAAACTTTAAATCAGTTAATTTTCCTCAGATAAAGTTTCAAGAAAATTGTTTTATTTTTGAAAGATTTTTTAATAAAGAGAATTATAAATATGGCTAAAATCATCAATTTTTAGCCATTTTTTTTTTATATATATATATATATATATATATATATATATAAATAAAAAGAAAGAACAGTAAGATATAAAATCCGGTGTTCTTATAGATATTTTATTTTTACAAAATAGTGCTCAATGTAAATTTACAGAGCATTAATATTATAAATTAATTGATTTAAAATATGGTTATTTTTTACACAGTTCCAACCATGTTTCAAAAATAGAAGCTAAAAACCCTAATTTTATTTTTGCAAATAAATTAAAAGCATTAGTTCTATTTCATCTTCAAGCGAATTTTGGGGGTTTTTAGCTTCTATTTTTGAAACATGGTTGGAAATGTGTAGAGAAAATAACCATATTTTAAATCAATTAATTTTAATATATATATATATATATATATATATATATATATATATATAAATTTTAAATTGATTGCATTCCAATTAATTCACTTTGAAATACAGCCAAGTGTAAATATTAAATGTAATCTATCTTCAAGAAAGAGTTTTTTTCATTTTTAAAAATTCATTTTAAACTTTAGGTATTGCATTTCTCTAGCAGTACCTAATTATATATTAATGATAATTATAAAGGTGGTGGCAGTGGTGTTTTTTTTTTGTTTTTTTTCTAAGGCCATGTTTATTTCAATATAATTTTCTTTTTTTAAAAATCTTCCAAAAATAAAATAATTAATCTGATTTGAAACAAACATTATTTACTTTGTTTAAAATATTGCATAAATGCATTGTTTTTTTAATCTGAGCAGTAACTGTTTATTTAAGGTGTTGACATGCTGACAGTATGATGAAACATCGTTCTATGGGGACTATCTGTAGAACATAATTGAAGATAATGATGTGAGCGTCTTTTTTGTATAATTTTTAAGTGTTCACTAATTTTTAAAATTTAGGAAAATATTCTCTCTAATCTAATATTTTATTGAATTTTTAAAATTTTGGCTTTAAATTTACTACAGTTATCACTTACTTTTCATGTATAGTTGTCTGTTTCTACAAAAATTGGCACACAAAAACAAAAAAATTCAAAATTTTAAAACATATTGGTGTTTTCTATTTATAATTAGTAAATATAGTTTTTGCTTAATATATTCTAAAAGGGTGAAATGAATACAGAATTTTAAAAAGATTTTTTTAAATTTATAAATTATTCTAATTGAAAAAAAAAAAAAGTAAAAAAATAGCCATACTTGTAAAAATTCATTATTCATCAAAAAAAAATTTTGATAGTCCTTTATATATTTTTTATTTATAAAAACAAAAGCTTTCCTAATTAAATAATATCTTAGTTTTATTGCATTTTTTATTTTGATTCAGAGCAGATTTTTAGTAAATGTTTCCATTTCTGATTCTAAAACCCCCCCCCCCAAAAAAAAAACAATGGTGATTTAAATTCACCAAGGAGTCCTGTTTTTATCTAATATAAATATGAAAAGGGTGGAATTTTAATTTCTTGAAATTTAATAAAATTAAGTATGGGGTGGCATAACAGATATAAAAAATATATTTTTACTAGGATTTTCTCAAAAAAAAAAATAAATAAATAATTCATATGTAAATAAATTCTGAAAATTTCATTAAAATCTGACAATTGATTTTTTGCAAGAATTTCCAAATCAATGTTTTTAGTGCAAGAAAGACTAAAATTTCCTATACTAATCTTTGTCTACCCACTCCCCCATTGACACATGAAAGATAAGATTTTTAACCAAAATTTATAACATACTTTAAAAAAAAAAAAAATTTAATGATAAAAAAATACTTTGGTCTTTCCTCTTAATAACAAACATTTTGATGTTAAAATTTTTCTTTTATTAAGTTTAGGGCTTTTTTACATCATGGTATGCTGTTTTTTCAGCAAATTAGTGGAGGTACTTGGGCTATCAATCTCCACAAATTCTTATAGTTTGAAGTCTAGAAACCATGACATTTTTAATTTAATAAAATATCTTTGCGTATTTTAGAAAAATATCTATCATATAGTAGGCATCTGTTTATCTTGTGAGATAAAGGTAGCACCCTGATTGGTCAAAATACAGTTTTTTGTTTGAAAAATGGAGTGACCTCTCCAGGGCAAGGTCTGGGCAATGGTATATGGAAGCTATGCACTGTCCAGACTACATGCCCCTCCCTCTCAGCTGTACTGACAAGATCCAAAGGAATACATTTGGAGATGGCCTGGCTGCAAGAGTTGCCCGAAACTTGTCAGTGTTGACAGTCACACACCTTCAGGGCTCTGCTCTGAGTTTTCTGTTTGGATTTACTTCCATAGCTTTTTCTTGTGTTTGGATATGACTTCAAGGCAGTGGTAGTTTAAAATCAGGGTTTCCTTCTAGATGGACTGCTTTCTGGGCTGTCAAGCTCCATCTACCTGAAGCAGCTGGTTATGAGGTGCCAGTTGTCTGCTTTCACCCATTCTCCAGCTTAGAGCTCGATTTAATCTACCATATATGCTTAACAAATCAAATGAAAATGATAAACAGCTGCTCAAATGTAATATTACCAAAGTATTATGTTTAAAAACTCTTTATAACAGATAAAATGGTTTCTTCAATGACTGTTTAAGGTGAAAATTAGTTTATATAGTGTTCAAATAAACTTGAGTTTTTATTAATAGAATCAAATTTAGAGCTGTGTGCTCATAAGTAATAAAGAAGTATTAAGTAATAAAGAAAAATAAATCTTTACTAGCTGATTGCCATTTGAATATTTAAATATGGTTTTATTACTTTAGTCATAACTGTTCTATTTTCTGATTTGCAGTTTCACGTGCATTAAATTTCATTAACTTTAGTTTTAAAAGGTTCAAGGAAAGAAAATTTGAAACAATTTTTATTCATTCCATTTTATAAATTTCTTTGCAGGATTCTGAAGGTGACTCCCCACTTCATGATGCTATCAGCAAGAAACGTGATGATATGATCACTTTGCTATTGGAACATGGAGCAGATATCTCCATTACCAATAACAACGGCTTCAATGCCCTCCACCATGCAGCCCTCAGAGGCAATCCAAGGTAAGACATGCACTAAAGTCTTTTCAAGACAATATACTAATTTCTTTTTTATTTTCTATGTGAATAACACTTGTAATCAATTCCTTATTTGGTTCTGTTATTTTATGTTTGAGACAGTCTCTTCTCAAACTGCATCCAGATATTATACAGTAGGAAAGTTTCACTTTTATTCTTGTGTATATTACAAATGTATATTTATCTTTCTCTTAAACATAAATTATTCAACAAAATGATGTTATTCACATTTCAGAAGGAACTTTGCAAGTTGTTTAATATTGAAACTGTTGCTTTCACATGGATTCTTGAATCCGGACAAATTTTGAGTAATGGCTTTTTGACTTGTATATTACATGTTTTATTTATAGAGTGTAGTGAAAAATAACCAACTATTTAGTTTATTCTGCATTGATTTGATTACTGGAGAAAATTAGGTTGAATTTTTGATCTTGAGCTCTGAACAATTAATTTTATTTTTGTCTGGACTTTTTAAATGAGGAATTACTATTATACACTGATTTGCTTGGACAGTCTGACAAAATCTTTGTTAAATTTATTTATGAAGATGTTAGGCAAAATACATATCTTAAATCTAGTTCTGTATAGGTAGTATATTTTTGCTTCTTTTTGAAGGCAGATTCTTTAAATTTTAAAATATTTCTAGCATAAAGCAGACTGTATTTTCACTATTCAAATTTAGAGAGTAAAATGCTTTGTAATATTTTAAACTGTTTAAAATATTTTAAAAACATTTTTGAAGCCAACAAATGGAGAACTCAGCATCCTTGCTTTGCCAAAAGAAAATTAATTTTTTTTTCTTTTGAGTTGGATAAAGTGTTTATTTAGCTTCATAATGACCTCCATGTATCCATATTATTATTATTATTATTATTCTATTTGTATGTATGACCATTGTACTTTCTACCTTGGATCAGTGTAGTATTTTTCCAATTCCTGACCTTTCTGTTATGCTTTCTGATTGTGAATTTGTTATTCTACTTTTTTTTTTTTTTTTTTTTTTTTTTTTTTTTTTTTGTGTGGATGACCATTATGCTTATCTACCTAGGATTAGTATAGTATATGTTTCACCTTTGGCCTTCTGAATTGGAATCAGTCATTTTTTTTGAGATGAGGAATTATCATTATTTATATTATCAGTTGGAATCAGATATGCTTTCTGACCAAGAAACCTATATAATACTAAATAGGAAGGAACTTGGAAAAGGACGGTGTGAAGGAGGAAAGCTACAGAGTACCAGCTTGAAGGAATATACAGGGAGAGAGAGGGAAATGAGAAAGAGACAAGTTTTCTGACTATTCATCGAGAGTCAAGTTTTCTGACTATTCATCGAGAGTCAAGTTTTCTGACTATTCATCGAGAGTCAAGTTTTCTGACTATTCATCGAGAGAAATATTGAAAGATTGGTCGGGGATGGTAAGGTGTAAGTGATACTTTTAAATTCTTTATAGTGAGTAGAACAAAAGACATTTAAGAAAATGCAGTTGATAATATTTGTTAAATACTTATTTATTTTCCCCATATGAAACTAACCTGTGTTTGTATAAAATATAGATGGCAACAAAAATTGGAAGGGAATGAGAAGATACAAGCAAAGGTGAGAGAAGAGCAAAGGTATGTGATAAGGGATAATCTTAGTTGTCAACACCTGGGAAATTATCAGGAGTTCAATTATTTCATATTCATATACCATTGTCTCTTCTTTACTTGTTTATTTTCTGTTATTTCTATAAATTTAGTAGATATTTTCTGAGGTTTGATACTTTCAAAGAAACAAATCTTTTCCCAATTATCTATATGTAGGAATATTTATTTTTCTGTTACAATATTGATTTTAGTCTTTTATTATTTCTGAAACTTTTATTGAATTTTAAAAGGTTAAATATGTTTAGATAATTTATTTATTTTGTGCAGTGTTTGAATAAATTTTTTTGATTATTAGCCAAGGTAAAAATTGTTACATAAAGTCTTTTCTCACGGTTGTGGATAACCACGAGATTTGATTGCTAACGTTGCAGAAAACCATAAAAATGTTGTTGGGTTGGTCAGTCTATCTGTTTATGTATCTTCATAGTAGCAGGTGGGTAAGTGGGAAGAAAAAATGGTATGGTAAGTGATTGGGATGCTTGCTACCTCTGTCTTTATACATCTTTCCCAAATAGCATCTGTATCTCTGAGAAATGATCCTAAAGATAGATTTGTTCAGCATCCTCTTCTCTCTCTATTTTTTTAAAATAAGGAATGATGTTGCTGCAGCAATTGGATGCGTAGATGTTTGCAGTTGCTCAGCCTCTGTTGGATTTTTGCCAATACAAGTTGTACCAGAACTGGCTGCCTTACCAAACAAGATATTTCCGTGTGTACACACACATGCACACTATAAATTCTGCACAGGATTTGGGATAGCTTTCATTTCAATTTTTAGTTTACCTGCTCTGAGTGAGTGAGTATGTTTGCCTATGTACATGTGGGTGTGTATCTCTCTGGTTTGGAGAGCAGACTATAGGTGCTGCATTGCTCTTCTGTTTCAATCAGTTCTATTGCCATTCCATAAAAGCATCTGATTGGCTGAGAATTAATTTTTGATTATTTCTCCCTGGAATGTCTTTTTGCTACCCCAAAGAGGCAAGATAAGCATTTTCATTAAAACAGCCTTTTCCAGAAAAAAAAATTCTTCTACTTAAATTTTCTTCTTTGTCTTTGTGGATTGGCATTTAAGTGATTCTGAAAAAATGTTTTTTTTCTAGACATTACAAAGTCAACTTTTATTATATGTTCACTTTTTTTTAAAGTTTATTAGGTGATATCAGCGACTTGACTGAAGTGGAACAACATAAATCCACTAAAAATATATTATGTAATGGCCTTTACAAATAGGTGACCATTTCCAGTCAAAATATTAATCTGTTCCTTGAATTTTGCTTCTTGCTTGGTGCTAAATTTTTGGCTAGAGTTTACATGTTCAATTTAAGAAATCTTAGAGTACAAATTTCCTAAAATGATGATGATACTTGCTTAGTATATATGAGAATTTTTTTTTTTTTATGTGGGGTGAGGTCATTAAAATTAATCTTGGAAATATAAGCACAAGAATAAAATATGTTGTAATCTCTATTATTCTCACAAGGTTTTGTAGGACAATACCTAGAAGATTAATGTGAATTTGGTGGCACATTGTGATTTCAATCCCTGGACCAGGTAGTTCAGATGTGGTGAAAATGGGACTAGCAATAATTGTGCAGTACTAAAAAATGAGAACCAGACAAGATATCTCTAGACATTAACAGCAGAACAAGAACAATCTACACTTGTTGATTAAATAAAGGGTTTAGTTTGAAAAACCCTGAAGGTTACCCAGGTCATCTTGAAGTTTAGAGGGCACAATGACTGAAATGTGATAGTAGTAATAAAGATGAGGACATTAGTCTGATTGTAAATAACTCCTCATCGCAGAAATTTAGACTGAAAGTAAAATATATTTTATGATCTAATAATAAATTGTCTAGGAAGTAAAAGAAATCTGTAAAATTGGAATTGTTTATTTCCCTTAGAAAATTTTGAGAATTTTATGCTTAGTCATTTATTAAGTTCCTTGTGCTTATTGTTTGGTGTCTTTTAAGAGGGTTGCTATATAAAACTGAAATGATGGGTGAATTAATGAGTTCTTAAAAGTTACTTATATATTCTTTGCTTTTTAAAATTTACAGAATTTTTCACAATACATGATCTACCTTTTTGTTTCTTTTTGTTTTAGTAAGGAGTGTAACAAATATGGTCTGTGGGTTTGATCTGTAGCTCTGTTCAAATGCTAAATTATATGATTGAATAAAACTTTAACTTTCTTTTCATATATTTGAAATTTTTCCTTATTTTGATTTTATTTCAAGATCTTTGAAAGTTGCTAATGAAAGCAGTGTAGTTTTCTAGTTCTAGGACATCATTAAAAAAAATAAAGTTTTACTAAGAGTGCTTATTGTGTAGAATCAGAATCCTAAATTAATCTTTAATATTCCAAAATTTAAAATCAAACTTGGATATCATACATTTATGAGTTTCTTTAATAAGTAAATATTTGACGTGGTGTAATGGTTAGCAATCTTGTTTCACTAGATCAATTATGACTGAATAAGGAGTTTGATTCTCACTAGATGCCTCATACTTTCAGCCATGTTCCACATCTAAGTGACACTTAGAAAACTGCCATATTCTGATTGGGTGTTGACTGATAAATCTCAGTTTGCTGTAATGTGCTCTTGTGGAGTTCAGGTGTATGGCATAAATTGATGGCTCAGTTTTGCATTAGTTTCCTTTAACAAATTGATATTCTGTATATTGATCTCCATTATTGATTATCAGTAGATGATTGAATGCAACTTAATTTTTGACAATTATGATCAAAGATTTTTCCCTTTTGCCTGGTTATCTTTAATTGTATCCTGCCTTTGAATTTCGGTTAGGTAACTTGGTACATAATAACGAATGGTTTTCTTTGCTTTTCCTGTTATCTATTCACCCTGCTGTAAATATAAGATATGGGTTTTCTCTTTTTGATAGTTTCACTCATTAAGATAAAAGACAACAATTTGTTGTGGTGATCTGTGGATGTGTCATGAGGTTCTGATGAAACATTGGCCTTGTCTGAATGTACTTCTTTTTTTGTTATATAGATGTGTGTGTCTGTCAGTGGTGACTCTGGGGTTCGGGCTTGTTGAGCTTAGCCCAAGCGAGTCAATATTCAAGTATATTAATTTCAAAGCAACAAAAATCTTTTGGAGTCTGTCATTTTCATTCTTGACTTCAGCTGGATCCAAAATTAATTGTTTTAACTTCGTGCCTCAAAATATTGAGCAAAATACGTTTCGTTGATATTGCTCATAATAAAGAAGAAAGTTAAAAAAGAAAAAGTTAAATAAAATTAACATGGCTGGTTGGACTGCATATATTTCAAGCTGGAGACATGCTTAATAGTCAATGTACTTTTTGCTTTA